TTATTAATTATTATTATATATTAATTATTATTATATATTATTATATATTATATATATATATATATTATTATATTATTATTATTATTATTATTATTTATATTATTATTATATTATTATTATATTATTATTATTATTATTATAATTATAAATTACCATTATAATAATATAATAATTATTATTATTGTTATTATTATTATTATTATTATATGTTATTATTATATTATTGTTATTATATTTTATTATATTTTATTATTATAATAATATTATATAATAATATATATAATAATTTTTATTATTATTATTATAATTAATATTATTATATTATTAATATGATATTATATTATTATTATTATTATAATATTATTATTATTATATTATATTATTATTATTATAATTATGATTACTATTATTATTAATTATTATTATTATTATCATTATAGTTATTATTTAATTATTATTTTATATTTTACTCCTCTGTCGAAGGTATTAATATTTCCCTCAGGCTAACCGCCAAAGTAAGAAAATAGATCTGCAGCGGTTTTTTCACCGTATCCGGTTCTCATCTCCTAAAACCCTACGTACTGTCCTACATGTTCCCAGCAGTGCAGCTTTTTGCAACTGCAAGTATATTTTGGATGGAGCTGTAGCTTTTCCAGACTCTTGTGTAGTTTCCTTGGTATCTCTCCAGTAGCTCCTATGATAACTGGTATTACAGACACATTGCCCATTTCCCACATGCGTTTTATTTCGTCGGAGAGTGGTAAATACTTTTTGATCTTTTCCGCATGGGTGGTTTGGATATTACTAGGAAGAGGCACAGCTATGTCTATTATAAACGTCGTTCTTTCTTCTTTTAGTGTGAGCACTATGTCAGGAATATTGTTGGGGATGGGCCTGTCAGTTATGATTTTACGGTTCCAGTACAGCCTAGAGGTCTCCGTTTCTATCACAGGTGGCGGCGTGTATTTATAGTAGGGCTGTGTACCAGTTTCTCCTAGATGCTTTTTAGCCAAAGCTTGATAAAGTATTTTAGCCACATCATTGCGTCTTTCAAGATATTGTTTACGAGCTAAGGGAGAGCAGACTGCTACAATATGATCTATGTGCTCATCTTTTTTCCCACATATGCGGCATCTGATATCTTCAACGTTCTCATGCATTATACGCTTTCGGTATAACTTTGTTGGGACTACCTGATCCTGGATGGAGGCTATGAAGCCCTCCGTCTCCAGGAACAGATTACCTGACTGCAACCATCCTTGGGAAGCCTTCGTGTCAATGGCGTTGTATTCTATGCGGCTCCTATACCGACCATTTAGTGGTTTGGCTGTCCATTGGCGAACCAGATCCTGCATTGGGATTATCTTTGCCTCAGGGTTGAAAGATGTTTCTGAAAGGTTTAGTGGTGACAACTTTTTATCCGTCTGTGTTATTGCTTGATGCATTCTGCTCGATGTGGCTTTTTGGAGGAAGTACTGGCCTAGATTGTCCACTTGGCGGTAATGTAGTGTAGGTATGCAAGGTATTCCTCTGCCACCCTCACTTCGTGGTAGATGGAACCGCTCTATGGAACTATGTGGGTGGTGTAAAGTAATAGAGGATAAACAAGAGCATATATAGATTATATAGATATTTCTTATCTAGAATATCTCTGAAGTACCTGAATTTTGGAATAATACATCTCAGTCTCTTCACAAGGTACTCTGTATGGGTATCCCATTTTAAGTGTTTGTCCAAAATCACGCCTAAGTATTTTATTTTATCGGCTGACTGAATCTCTTTGAGACCACTGCTTGTATGAATTTCAAGTTTTTTAAATCGCGGTGAGAGCCTGTCGTTACAAGAAAATGCTATATAGTGTGTTTTGTTGTAATTAATTGTCAAAGTTCTTTCCGAAAAGAAATTTATAAATGTTTTGAAATCATGTTCGATTGTGGTTTTTAGTGTATGCCACTGGTTGCTTTCATAGAGAATAGCTGTATCATCCGCAAAACCGATAACTTTACCTCTAATAACAAAATGATGTAATACTCACAGGACAAATAAATAGGGGTGAATTACCCCTAAAATAAAATAATGCATGTCGCTAAACGGAATATAGAAATAGAAGATATGGGTAATAGGAAGACGTTAGCAATAGGAAAACAAAAGCATAAAATCATCAGGGACAAAGATACGGAAGGAAATTACTCCTAAAAATAAAAAATATGAATAAAAGGTAGAAATATTGAAAGGAAGTATGTACGCAAGGAAAGGTATAGGTGATGTCAGAAGGATGAATATGGATTATGAGCATGAAATCCTTTATGGTGATCTCTTAAAGCTAAGGACTTCCAGTATACAAAGAAAAAAAACCTGATATTACAGTTTTTATTTGACATGATGGTTGGGGATGGATTGTGATATATTGTGTGTGTGTTCAAGTTGTGCCACCACGCGAAACCGTTGACTCTTCGCTGAACGGGCACCCGCAAACGATGGCTAGTACTTCGGGGAATGATGAGTTATCCATCGAAATTGTTAGCATGGGCTCGCAAACCATGCTTAACAATTACATCGCCCAAAGTCAACAGAACTCCTCAAATGAGATCGATATTGAGGCAGTGTTAGCATCCATCAATCCGGACATTGATATGTCTACAACGATGAATGCTTGGCCATCGTTTGAGATCAATTTGTTGGAAGCTCAGCCAAGGCCATCCATGTCGGGAGCTACCTCAAACAGCAAGAGCCATCTGTGTCTGCCGCGATTGCGAGTGATATTGCGACACCTACATCGAAGACTTGCCGTTCACGCAACTTGAACGGGACGCGACAGAACGTTGTGTGGTGAATGAGCAACTCAATCGTGACACCTACATCGAAGAGTTGCCGTTCACGCAACTTGAACGGGACGCGACAGAACGTAGTGTTGTGAATCAACAACTCAATCGCGACACGTGGATCGAAGAGTTGGCGAACTTGATATGTAGAAATGGGACAAAAAAAACGAAACCTGCAAATAGGTCAAATCAATGTACAGCAGCTAATGTTTTTTTGTGTCAGATGCCACTAGAGAACGCGAGGTGCATAAATATATATATATATAAATGATTTATGTGTGAGAAACACAGTAGATACGTGCACGCCTCACAACAAAATGTTCCAATGTCCAAAATGCCAAAGGACCTTCGCGGTGAGGAAAAGTTTGTTGAGACACTGTAGAGCGAGGTGCAGCCAGGATGAGGAGCCCGCATCCAAGCGTCCATGTAATGCAACCGCTCCACGCAGCACTGCAGACAAGTGGGAATGTCCTCGATGCCGGCAAAAATTCTCGGCACGAAAAGGTTTACTGCGACATGGTAGAGAGGTCTGCACAAGCGAGAAGAGTCCACCCGAACAACAACGTGTAGAAGGTAAAGTTACAAACAACTAAGCCAAATTAAATAACTTATATTTATGAACTTATTACAGCTAGCATCACCCAGACCACCACAGGACTCAATACCAGACGACTGGATCCTTCAACAGCCAACGTTGCAATACCGGGACCGAGTCGAATGAGTCCAACCACCAGTAACGACTCACAGACGAGTGCGGAAAGCAAAATTCGCTGTGATAGTTGCAACTGTGAGGTACCGAGGAATGCACATGCAGCACATCTGAAAAGCATCAAACATAAGGCACATCTATGGACACCTTTACACAATAATGTGTCAGTATGTCGAAGTGCATTTCGGGGTAGAATAGTCAGTTATCAAATAACCGCCAGTATAGACACGTTGAACGTTACTGAATATATGAATAATCTTGAACATGACTCCATAAACGTGATTGAAAATGAATTGCATAAGCAAACAACGCTCAAAATAAATATGGAACTTTTTGGTTTATATATCTTACCAGCTAAAAGCCGACGAGAGGTGAAGTCCCACAATACAAACAATGTAATCATAACACAATCATCAAATTTAAAAGCAATCTATCATGATTTGGAAAGTAAAATAGAGCAAAAATCTGAAGATTTTGCAGAAAAAGACTCAGGGTGGGTGTTAGAAAAGACTTTATATTTAGAAATTAATATTAATAAATATAATCCTTTGAGAGCAGCATCATATTTGCCGCTTCCAAAGGAAATTAGGAACAAAAAAGCAGTACTCAATATACGTAATAACGATGAGTACTGCTTTGCATGGTCAATTGTAGCTGGTATGGTAAAACCAAAAGGTCGATCATCACTAACAACGTCATATCTACATTTTTCGAATGTTCCGGGCTTAAACTTTGCTGGAATGACATTTCCAGTCGCTCTCAAGTCAATATCAGAATGTGAAAGCGTGAATAACATATCAAGCAACGTTTATGGATTAGAAAAGGAATTCATTGATGGGAAGCCTAAATATCAGGTGCTGGGACCGTTACACTACACCGCGCAAAAACAACATACTCATCTAAACTTATTACTTATTGATGATTCAGAAGGAAACCATCATTACTGCTTAATTACCAACTTTTCAAGACTTGTTTCAAGTCAGTTGTCGCGGAATACGAGAGTAAAGCACTTTTGTGATGGGTTTTACAATACTTTGCCTCAAAAGAAAAATTAGAAATTCACATGCGAACCTATTGCAAATATATTTCAGTTAAGGTTCCAAAATTGGAAACGAGAGTTAATCGACTTGGAAACACGGTAATGGATAATATACTAAAATGTGAACAGCATCACAAACAATTAAGGCTACCATTTTGCGTTTATACCGACTTTGAATGCATTCTAGCTCCGATAGAAAATGACTCAAGCGATTCAGAGGATGTAAGTACCATCAGAAAGTATGAACATAAACCATCCTCATTTGCTTATTACCAAATGCTCATTTAATGATTCACTATCCAAATTGGCCACTATATAGGGGTGAGGATGCAGCAAAAATTTTTGTTGCTCGATTAGAGGCTGATCTTAAAAATATTATCAATATTTAACACAAAATGTAGAAATGAAAATGACTACGTACGATAAAGCTTCGTTTAATAAAGCAGAGTCATGTTTCATTTGTGAACAACCATTCACCAATACAAATATAAAAGTTAGGGATCGCTGTCATTTCACAGGGAAATATCGTGGTGCGGCGCATAGTAAATGCAATCTCAATTATAAGACTCCGAACTATATTCCAATATTTTTCCACAATCTGAAGAACTATGATGCTCATCTATTCATAAAACACTTAGCTATGAATCAAGAACAAATTAAAGTGATTCCACAATCTTTTGAAAGATATGTGTCATTTACAAAATTAGTACCGGTAGACACGTACATTTCCCAAGAGGGAAAACAAAAAACCGTATTTTTGCAAATGAGATTTGTCGATTCATATCAGTTTCTGTCGTCAAAATTAGAAACATTGGCATCCTTTTTAAGTGCAGAGCAATGTCGGACAGTACGAAAAGTGTTTCCCGAGGACGAAAGATTCTCCTACATGAGATGTAAAGGTATATTTCCCTATACATATCTTAAAACATTTGATAAATACAATAAAACATGTTTACCATCCCAGCAAGACTTTTATGACGAAATACGTGATGAACACATTGCAGACGAGGATTATGAGCGGGCACATCATGTTTGGGAAGTAATGGGGTGTAAAAATTTGGGGGAATACTCGGACTTTCACTTGACTTCGGATGTTCTTCTTTTAACAGATATCTTTGAAATTTTAGAGATTTGTGTTTAAAAACGTACAAGCTGGATCCAGCTCACTATTTTACAGCTCCTGGGTTGAGTTGGGATGCAATGCTACCATATACTAGTAGAGTTAGAGCTGCTTACAGATGTGGATATGGTACATTTTTTTAAAAAGGGGATTCGTGGAGGAGTCAGCACATGTACCTCACGGAAAGTCGAGGCGAACAATAAATGTTTACCTCATTACGATCCATCAAAGGCATCATCGTACTTAATGTACCTTGATGTGCCGAACTATATGGATATACTATGCAGCTGTACCCACCGACGGGTCATTTTGCTTGGTTGACGCAACATGAGATGGATAGGATTCAAGAAACCATTACACAAATTTCAGATACATCGGATATTGGATATGCATTAGAAGTTGATTTAACAATACCGAATGAGCTTCATGATTATTTCAATGATTTACCATTTTGTCCAGAAAATTTTAAACCACCCAACAGTCAAAGCTCAAAATTAATTCCAAATTTACACAACAAAGAGCGCTACATTATCCATTATCGTAATCTAAAACAATGTTTGAAACATGGTATTATCTTAACGAAAATTCATAGAGGTATCAAATTCACACAAGCAGCGTGGTTAAAGTCCTATATACTGTTAAACACGGTACTTAGAAATGCAGCACTGAATCCGTTTGAAAGAGATTTGTCCAAACCAATGATCAATTGTATATTTGGCAAAACGATTGAAAACATAGAGAACAGAGTCAATATCAAATTAGCGACTCAATTTGAAAAATCGAAACACAAAATAGGTGCTGAAAATTATATTAGTAAACCAACTTTTAAAGAACACAGTATATTTTCTGAAAACTTAGTAGCTATTCAAATGGAAAAAACAATGATTGATTATTGCCGTCCCACATATGTTGGATTTTGTATTTTAGATGTCTCAAAAGCGGTAATATATGACTTTTTCTATAACTTTCTGAAGCACCAATATAGTAATAAGGTGTCTTTAGCATACACGGACACTGATTCGTTAATAGTACATGTTGAAACCGATAATTTCTATGAAGACATGAAATCACACGTGCATTACTTTGACACATCCAATTATGATGCTGACAACCCACATAACATGCCTCGAACAGCGTCAGAGTTGGGTAAGATGAAAGACGAATATGGTGGCAAGGTACTGTCTGCCTTTTATGGTACAGGTCCCACAGCATACTGTATCGATGCTGTAGATCAAGTGGCTAAACGAGCTAAAGGTACATCTAAGGCGAGTGTGAAACATCAATTACATTTGTTACATTATAAAGATTGTTGAGGAGAAACGGACATATGTGTACTGTACGATTTATGTATTTAAATCGGAGTCGCACAATATATACACAAATTATAAGAAAAGTGACATTGACCAGTATGGATGATAAACGTTTCTTGATACCAAACTCAACAAAGACATTAGCTTGGGGTCATCAAGATATCACCTTTCATAAAATGTCGGACGGAGAGCGGTTGGAACTCTTGCTGCGCTTAATGAACGAAGCCAGTGAGTTGACTAGTGATCAGATGAAATGATCAGAAATTTGAGCTTTGTGGTGGGGACAAGAATATAAATATATGCTTCACCCACTCACCTTCTTCAGTTTTAAAGATTAGTACCAAGACATACTATTCACTGTTCATGCAATTATGTCATGTAACTGAAGAGGTGTTGAAAAAACATCTCCGACAGTTTGTGTCTCAAAATCCAGAAAAACGAGAATTTCCAGTGCTGAGTTTTGTACTGGTGGAAATTATAGTACCCGACGAAGTATTCAACTGGATTGCAAATGCAGATAGTTACTACCCCGATGTGCTTTCCAGTGTAATAACAAGAAGAAAAATATCTTGACTGGGTGGTACAGGAAACGCTGCAAAGTCTAAAGGATACAGGTTGTGAGGTTTTAAGCATCAAAGAATTTGGAGACCTGCTGACGAACATGCACTCCACACCATCAGCATATGAACAATACTATTTCTGTAAGTTGTTATCTGACAGTAACTATGAAGATGTAGATAAACCACATCCTGTAGAAAATATTACTAAGAGATATAAAAACACTGTATCCCATATCGATGAAACCATATGTAAAATTGCATATCTGGCTGATTGTGCATCACTGAAGAGTCTAATCGATGTGATACAGCAGCATGATATTAAATTTGTATTTGATATAGAAAATAAGATAAGACATTATACTGTATTTAAATGGTTAAAGAAAAACGTAGCTAAAGGTAACATTGGAGATAAGTCACTAGGATGGAGTTCTGGACCATGTGGTGTGAAATGGCCATCCACCAAATTTGAAGATTATGTTGCATGTTTGAGTGTCTTATGCGGTTTATCCAAAACGCAATAATTCTTGCTGTGTTGTATGACAGAAATATATCATAAATAAATGTATCTCCATGAATGGTAGTATCATTTTCCATTGCACCTGCGCCAATTTTTGAGAGGGGAGTGTTTGTGAGTGGAGGGAGTATCGACACTGTATAAAAGTAGCTACTCAGCATCACATACCAGTCTTCTACATTTCACATAGTGTTACAACATGAGTAGTGCCGGTGGTGTCAAACACGTTGCAAATGTGCAGAACGACAAAGGGGTATGATCTGTACAAAGTGGTGTAGCTCAGCCACCGTTAATTGTCATCCAGGAGCAACGCTATCATCTAAATCCATCTAAATCAAAATGGATTACTATTGGGCGAGCATATCAGTGGAGCTTCCAACCTGTACTCAATATCAAGGGTTTAAAAACCGAGGGCGTTACGTTAAATGAAGAAGACTGGTATGAAGTATCGAGTCAAGAAGGCATTATAACCAATTTTTTCTTCAATGATGATATTTTCCATCCGATCCAAGGTAACTCCTTCTGTATCAGCTTTGATAGATTTCCAGATTATCAAACCATCAAAATTGCAGATCGGTGGAGTAATGTAGTTTATTTGGGTAAAGAGACCGTATTGAAGTTATTTCAATTAGCCCCGCTGATTGCCTATACGATGAATATGTTGAAAACTCAGGAGTTCCAGGATGTACAAACCAAGCACATCGATGTGCGAGACTTCATTATGCAACACATCTCTGATTTGCCGCATTCGGAGAACATCAGGACTGCTATGGAGCTGGCATACCAATATCCAAACTTGAAAGAATTCAACAAGGCTCCAACACTGAACTTTTATTCAAATTACTTATCCTAACTATTCTCAGTATATTTGTAATAAAAATCTTATATTACGTAGAGTGTTTTATTGAAAAAAAGTGTGCTATAGAAATCATTAGACAAAATAGAGGTACATTTATCATACAAGTAAATCACTTTTGTTAATCCACGAATTATAGCTGCTATCCAGTCCTAAGTACTTGACTAGCACTTTACTGCCTTTACGTCGAACCACTTTCTCCACAAGATCGATGTTTGGATACTTGACTTTTTGAAGCTCTTCAGCATAAAATCCACCTAGTATCTCGTCACCACGCCAATCTGCCAATAAGTATGATGTAGGATTGGTATACTGTACTTTACGAATTGTAAAAATTTCATTGGACCAATTAGGAGTGTATCCTTTAGCAAATGCTGTTCTATGTTTGCTTATGCGGACATGATCCCCAGTTTGATATTTTACACCCTTTGGATCTACCGTTTTCAAATGTGTATAAACCGTATTCAATAATCTTTTTTCTGTACGTTTGTTTACGTCTTTGGGTTTGATTCCAATTGTACTATGTTTGGTGTTATTATACCCGTCAACGACTGACGATAGGATATCTAGCCATTTGTATGATCCCTGAAGGCTGAACTGCTTCCACATGCGATTCTTTAAAGTCCGATTCACCCTTTCAACCACACTTGCTTTGGTCGATGAGTACGTGCTGTAATGATTAATTTTGTACTCTTCCAACAACTTAAATCACTATTGTAGAATTTTTTACCAAGTCTGTTTGTAAATTTTTTGGAATTGACTGCATGTGCGCGACAGAATCGCCCTCATTGCAGTTGTAACATCTTTTCCGGTTTTTCGTTTGACTGGTTCTGCCCACACAAATTTACTAAAAACGTTGATGACAATTAAAATATATCGGAATCCTTTGTTCACTTTCTGATACGGAAGCATTCACCAAATCTGCCTGCAAGAGATCGTTAACCCCCTTCACAATAACGCGCCGACGTCTATAATTTCGGGGAGCTGGCTTATGAAGATCTTCAACAACCTGCTTTCTAAAGTCGATCATTGTTGTATCAATGGACAGCGCATTACAATATTTGCTATAAGCTGCTCTGGTCTGGGTTCTTTAGATGTGAAGAAATGGAGAATATCACCTTTCGTGAGAGGTGTGTTGTCGGTAAACCAATTGTCACTCTTACTTTTGGCGGAACTTTTATACTATCAACTATCCCAGTCACTGGAACGATATAGTCCTTGCTATTGTCGTTAAATGTGTAAAACTGCTCGCTGGATGTGGAGGAATAAATGGGTACCACACATACGCTGGATAGGTTGGATCTTAGAAAAGTACTGAAGATTGCAGCAGTGTCCGTCTTCTTTGAGCGGAGCATATGTCTTCCAAATTTATCAATCGGCATCTTGATCCTACAACTGCAGCAATGTAAATAAAGTAATTTTACGTTACAAACTCATTTTATAATTTTTTATTCACGTAACTCCTCAATTATAGACATAATCTCGTTACGATGTCCATTATTACCAGCATACTGTGAAGCTAACAACAGACGTAAACGAGCAACCAATTCATTTGGATCATCAAAATAGATGTAGTCGATTGGTTTATTTGATAAGTGGAGCATTCCTTGACCTGTATGTTTGAATGAGTGTGTTCATCGTAACTGACTCTTAGGAGGTGGAGGTTTCTCAAAGGAGCCGGATCTGAGTATGCCCTGCTGCTGATGTAAGTATGGTCGAATTATATTTAGATATTTGTAGGACGTACTACCCTGTATTTGAGTATTAGGTTCAAAATTTCTGCGATATGCATTTGTGCGACTTAGAATATCCATATACTGATCTAGATCACTCTGCTTATAACCAATTGGTTCTTTTTGAAAAGCAGTTCATATAATCCAGGTGTGCCAGGATATGTTACATTTTCCACCACGATATTTGCTCCGTCTAGCGTAACCGGACTTTTACCGAGTTGAAACTTGTCAGAAACAATATCATATGTTAATCCATAATAACGATCAAACTCGGGCTCGTTCCCACGAATTGACTTATCAACATATTTTCGAGGTACTGGGTGAAAACCTTCAAGATACTCTTAATATGCAGGTGTATCAATTAGTTGGTGGAATTCTTGCGCCACTCGAGCCACGCTTTCATTGATTTGCTGGTTTTCTGCCTCCAACACCGTAGCATTTGGAGTAAATTCTTCAACGGTAGATACATCTTGACTGCGATTTGGCTCCGGAAGGTTTGAATATGTATCCTCGAGAAAGCTGTAGTTGACAGGTGGTAAATATCGTTGGTATACATTTTCTGATAATTGTTTATTGAATGATTGTCGTTTCTTCGGTGTGGATGTCACTGATGGGGGTGTAGATTGTTCTTCTTTGATCTGCAATTCTTGTTTAGGTGCTTCAACTTTTGATAAGAGTTTTTGCAGCGGTTCTGAGATCGGCTTAAACTGTTGCTGTAATTCCCTTTCCGTTGCTGCAATATCTGATTTAAGTGTGAGATACTTTTGTTTAACCGCTTTCCTGGTTTTGACTAGTTCTTTGGCCAGTTTTGGATCCATCTGTCTACCTTCGATGTTATATAAGTACTACCCTAAGATTTGCACAGAGTATAGTTATATATATATATATATATATATATATTACTGTTACAAATTTATGTTGCTGCTAAAACACTTTCTATACCTGCCTCCCTGTCTTGGAGAATCTTTATCAACCACTACAAAGCTATGTGGCTCTTGCCAACACAAACTGTACAAGCTTTTAAATTCGTTGAATGACATGTCTAGGCTGATATGATCATCATAGATATGTTTCAGATTCAAATTGTCTTGAGGAAATAGTATGAGTAGGTTTATGTTATCCCTTAAATTATGTTTGGGTGCGGCAGTATACGTTTGACAAAGATAGAAACAGTCTGTATTACGATGTCGTCCAAAACTGAAATATTGTCTTATTATATCCTGATTACATGATGAAACGTCGTCAAAAATTATTACGGAGTTTGGTTTAATGTTTTCTGGTGTCGCAATGTTTGCATCTTCACTGTATTCATAATACCATATTTCGCGAAGCGGTGTTAGTAGTTCTTGTAAATATTTGTACTTGGGTTGGTACAGCGACTTGCAGTACAGATAAACGTTCTCAAATCTCAATCCATTAGGATGTGTTAACAAACTGATCATTACATTAGTTTTACCAGATCCGCTTGGAACTACAACTAACGCGCGTTTAGACGTACCATTGAATAGGTTACCATGTTTTCTAAGCGCACCTTCCTGTGCAAGTCCATCAAAATTCGTTACAGAACTTGTACGACTGATGGTCGATATCTCTGATAGCCTATAAATTGTACTGATATCAATACTTCTAGCACAGTCTACTATATATCTGAGAACCGTTACTTGCTAGAAGCATAAAATGACTGCATTCCGTGCGAGGAGGAAAACAGTCACAAACCGACTTGAACCACTTGAATTGCATATCCCGAGATATAATTTCTGTGGACCTGGAACAAATTTAAAGCAACGCATTGAGGAGGTGATACCGGAATTAATCGCTTAGACGAGGCCTGTAAGCAGCACGATCTGGTTTACGCTACCTCCAAACAAAGTGAAATTCGTCGTAAAGCCGATAACCTCTTAATTGATCACGCCCTCAAGCGGGTTGCTGCATCGGATTCATCGCTTGGTGAAAAAGTAGCTGCACTGGGTGTCTCAGCGGTCATGAAGATGAAGCAGAAATTGGGTAGTGGCATGAGTCGAAAAAAGTTTTCTTCTCGTATTCGCAAGTCACAAAGCATTTTAGGATTGCGAAAAAAACTAATAAGCGGACAAGATCTCTGTAAAAAACGACGCATCACACAAAACTCGAGACTTTTACCGATACCTAAAAAAGGGGGATTTTTACCTATCCTCCTTCCCCTACTTGGTGCGCTAGGTGCACTTGGAGGTGGAGCGGCGTCAATTGCCAAAGCAGTCTCGGATGCGAAAACCAATTAGGCTCAGTTGGCTGAACAAAAACGTCACAATTTAGCGTTAGAACAATCTAAACAAGGAAAAGGGTTATATTTGGCACCTTATAAAAAAAACTGCTAAAAAAACTCCCTCGTCATGCTCTTACTAATATAGAGTTACTTCAATTGGCTAAACAACTGATAATTCCAAAATTTAGGGGGGTTTTTATGAGAGATTGTATTTGATCAAAACAACGATCTTGTAAACTTTAGAAACGAAACCATTATCATACGTTTACACTTGCGCAAAATACGTAATGGGTATTAGATACAATATTCCACATTCGGTGCTTTCCAATCGAACCTATAAAAACAAGATTCGCAGAGTTTTTTTGCTAGTACTCCACCAACCAACGTACCGTCACCTCGTCCAAATTATAGACGTCGTCTAACGATTGATAATCGTCAGTTTTTAAAGTCGTTGGAATTTCAATTGATCTAACATGAGCATTTTGAACGTGACAGAACAGCCATTACTTGACACCTCCATTACTGAAATGGAGTATCACACCTATCAACCGTACATTAATGCTAATTTTGATTATAATGATGAAATTAGAATTGCTATTCAAGAACTGGATACCTTCACTTTACCGTCCCAAAGCTATCTTTACCTTGAAGGAACACTCACTAAAGCTGATGGTTCTCCATCTGAAAACTTTAAATTTGTCAATAACGCATTTAGCTTTTTGTTCCGAGAAATTCGATATGAGTTGAATGGTGTTGTTGTTGATTCTGTTCGAAACGTCGGACTCACTTCAACATTGAAAGGTTATCTTTCTTACAATCAAAATGAAAGTACTAAATTACAAAATGCTGGTTGGTATCCCAAAGAATCGCACTTTTTATCAACCGGTAAATTCAACGTATGCATTCCTCTAAGCATGTGGATGGGCTTTTTTGAAGACTACCGCAAAATTATATTGAATATGAAACAGGAATTAGTACTCATACGAAGTAATGATGATATTGATGCAATTAAGGTCGCTACC